TTGCACCCTGTCCCCCAGGGTTTTCCCTGTTAGAGGCTGGAGGAGTTGGGACACGGGCATGGCGATGGAGGATGGCATCCCACGCAGCAGGTTCCAGATCAGGGATGCCTCGGGCGAGGAGCTGGGTCTTGCTGCCTCCTGTTGCTGGAGTCCTGCCCTGCTGGGAGATAAGCAAGGGAGGGGAAGGGATGCGAGTGTCACCTTCAAAGATATAGATATAGATACACACACATATATAGGCTTGCAATGGGGTCTTCTGACCCCCCTCCTTAGGCAAGGGCTGGCTGCGGTGCACGGTAGGTGCATGCACCGTTGCAGGATCCAGGCTCTGCATCAGCTGCTGCAGCACTTGGAGAGATATTGGGGGTTTTTAGGTCTTTAGATGGGTGGCTGCAAGTGCTGGGTGCCTGAAATGCTCCGGGGAGCTGCTGTCTGAGCCTTGGTCTCTGCCTTTGACTAGTTCAGGCAGGATACGGCTGGCTGCGATTGAGCAGCTTCTCTCCCTCCTTGAGGGAATGTTCAAGCGTGGGCTGCGGGCTCGGGGGGCTGCGGGCTCAGGGGCTGCAGGCTTGGGGGGCTGCATTTGAGGAGCTGTGAGCCACCCCGGAGCTCTGCCGATCCTGGGGGGTGCTCCCACCCGGCACCCGCACCCGCAGGCATTTGAGGAGCTGTGAGCCACCCTGGAGCTCTGCCGATCCTGGGTGATGCTCCCACCCGGCACCGGCACCTGCAGCCATGTCACTGCTGCAATTCCGAAAGCCATGTGGTCGCGGATGCTCGTGGAGCAGAGGGGCGATGCGTTGGATGTCTGCTGGGTGTGGGAATCACCCAGAAAAATCATTGTGCCTGCAGAGCCCATTAGCATGTAATTAACGGCGGATCCGAGGAGCGGTGTGCATTGGCACCCTTTGCTACCTGTGCAGGTTTGCCTCCGGGTTAACGCCACAGATGTCCTTGTGCGGGGTCCGCAGCCATGCCCCAATGTGGGGTTCGGTCCAGGCAATCACGTCCCTCTGTGCTTTGCAGAAAGTAGCGTGCGAGCGTTGTCCGTCATTTGCAAACATGACCCCAAGGGTAATTAGTTGGTGCTGATGAGGATCTCCTGCCCTCCCGCCTCCCTGGGGCCATCCCTGCCCGCGCTGCCCATCAGCTGCCCGGAGCAATAGGCAGCATTGCTGCCACTTATATTTCTATTGCGGAGCATAGAAAAGCCCTTCCCAGTGGTTCTTACTGGGTTACAGGCTAATTTTATTAAACACTGTCATGAGAAACTGCCAAGTTCCCTCCTCTAAACGTCTCCTGAGCCCAACCTTAGGGATAATTGTCTCCCCCATTAGTTTTCATTAAATTAAATGTGGGAGGAGGATCTGAACAACCAGGGGCTCTGATCTGAGCACGGTGTGTACTTGCTGGCACGAT